AAGTCTGACAGAGGGATGATAGGTGAGGTAAGTGATTAGTGATGATTTCGATGGGAAAAATATGATTGGGATAAAATTCAAAATATGAATTATTTTATCATATAGAAGGTAGATTGAATTTGGGTTGACACTATATTTAGTAATTCGGTTTGGGCCGGGTTGAACATGCAAACCCAAAATACTATGTTTTTTGGGTTGGATTTAAGTTAGCTTATTTAAATTCTAGTGGAAATTAGAGTTGAGTCCTCATGAATGGACTTATAATGACTTTAGTTTGTCAAAAAAATTTATTTGGTAATAAGTCAATTTTTTATTTTACTAATAAGTACTTAAGTCCATTATTTTTTTAAATTTTAAAAATATCTTTAACAGTGTTATTCTGTTCAATTATAGAAACTCAAAGACCTTAAAAATAACTTTAAATTAATTTCTTAAATTAGAAATTATTATCGCTTAATTCACTCCTAAATTGAAATTTATATTATCTCTCTCTCAATAGAAGAAGATCATTACTTCAGTATAACAAATATTTCTCCTTAGATATCATTTCTTTCTCAATAGCATCAAAATCAGTAACGTCTGGAAGATCATCAACAACTATTATATCTTCTATTGTTTTCTGGTCATCATGAACTTTTATGTCGTTGGTTTGTGGAAAAAAAGTTAAAAAACTTGCTCAATGTGTTATTAGTTGGATTGCCAATTTTATTTTTATTTTTTTGATAAATAATTCTAAAATTTTTTCAATGTTTCATGTTATTACGTTTTTTGTTAACCATGTTACTATTTTTTATTGAACATGCTATTACTTTTTTGGATGTTGAAGAATTGGAGGTTTTTTCCTCTGGTTATGAGTTTGATTGTTACTATTTTTATTTTCAATTTTGTTCAATGTTCCATAGTGCTATTTTTTTTGAACATTTTACTATTTTTATTAAGCATGTTACTATTTTTTATTGAATATGTTATTATTTTTGTTGAACATATTACTATTGTTATTTTTTTTAAATATTAATATTGAATGCTACTATTTTTTTTATGTTTAAATGTTACTACTGTTATCTTTTTAAAATATTAATATTGAATGTTACTATTTTTCTATATCTAAATGCTACTATTTTTTTGGTATTTAAATGATATCATTTTTTGTGTTTAAATGATCATTTCTTTTTTGTATTTGAATGTTACTTTATATATATATACACACCCTATATATGAATATCTATATAATAAAGTAGAGCTAAATTTGAATCTTGAAGACAAATAGCGGTCAAGATCATTTTGAGACAAAACATAAATACATTCAACAGACAATGTAACCCCAACATAAAATACAATTCAGATCATCTCATAAATACTAATTTGACAGTCTACAGTGAGTACTTAATTTTATTTTTCCACCCAACAACATTTCATTTTTTAATTATCAGGGCTTTTAACTATTCCCAAATCTCTCTTCCTCATTCTTTTATCACCATTAATCAAGCCCAACTTTCTTAACTCGCGTCTCTCTCTTCTGAAACCCCTGCCTTCCAAACTCATCTCCAAAATATCTCCATAGAATTCATCTTAGTCTCACTTTTGCCTCTCTATTAGGGCCGACTTGGCCTGTGAAATTTTTTTTGGAGAAGGCTTGGGTAGTGTAGGTACAAGCCCGTACTCAGACGAGTAGTGGACCGAGCTTCAAGTAGGGGTAAGCTACTTGCAGCCCAGCCCGTCACCTATTAGGCGGGCTTTGCAGGCAAGCTTTCTGTGCGAGCTTTTGTTGGGCCTATTGGGCGGGCTTGTTGAACCTTATTGAAAAAATATACAATTTTATTTAATTTTTTTGTAAATTATATTTTTGAATTAAAAGTACAGTCAAAATCAAAATGAACAAAAATTAAACAGTGAATAATTTTATTTATGAATAGAAGAGAAATTGCATCACTACCGTTTATTCAAGTCTCCAACTTTTTTTTTTTTGAACAAAAGTCTCCACCTCTTAACATAATCATATATGGGCGGGTATGAGCTTTGAGCGGACTTCGGACTTCAGATATGTGGGTAGGTTATTGGGCTGGAAATTTGGCTGGATTAATGGGCCGGTCTTCGATTTTAGGCTTAACTTCGGGTCGAATAATAGATTTAGGGATAAACTCAAGCCTTTTTTTAAAGGATATTGAGCTCGAGCTCAGACGAGTCAACTATTGAGCCTATCAAACTTCAAGTCTATTTTTTTTTGGCCGAGTAACGGGACCTGCGTGTAACCCAGTCCATGGACCACCCCTACTCTCTATATGCTATCTCAAATTTTCTATCAATCTCAATTCCGAATCCCCTGTCTCTCACGCCTAGCTCTCCATCGCCAAACAACTGCCGCCGCCACCACCAAATCACATGCAGCCAATCACTTAATCACACACAACACTCAGCTACAAGCGGCAACTCACAGATGCAAACCCATCACAGACCACGTCTCTCTTAGCTTTCTCATTTTCCCCTCTTATCTTCCACCTCCACCACTATTGCTTTTGGGGCTGCTTATTTAGGCCTTGTACAATCACTTAGGAATTTGAATGTCTCAGAAAAGTTCTGTTTGAGCTCCAGATGTTCTGTTATATTCTTTTGATGTGATACTATTTTGATCTTTCTAGCAGGATGAGATTGCGTTGAGATCATTGTTCCTCATGCTCTAAAGGTATCATCATGTTTCCTTAATTTTTTGATTTATTACTTTCCCTTTTTCTTTTCAGTTTGCTATTGCTTAATTTTTGAAGTGGTTAGTTGGTTTTGCGGGACACATGAGAGGATATTTATAACAGCTTAATCCATCAATAGACATGGGGCTTTTTTGATTGGAAGGTTGATGTGAAATGGTTTGGGTCAATTTGCTCTTATTTCTTTGAATTTTCAATGGTACGTACTTTTGTATATCATTATAACATTTAGTTTTCATTTTGTTGCTATGATTAAATATAAGAAATTTATATCATGATGATGATGATTTTTGCATCTGTGCCTTTCACCAACACTTGTTGCTTTATGAAATTTTTGACAATGACAGTTAATTTTTTTTGAATGGCTTTGTGTTTCATTGTTTCTGTGAATTCTTTCCCTATGTATGTATATTTATGTGACTGACATTTGATTAGTTCTTTAACATTCATGACATGGATGGTTGAATGTTCCTAAAGGTATAGACTTTAATAAAATGAGTTACTTTGGTGAAATTCAAGTACTTGCTGCTCTTCCTTTTTTAAGAGTCATTCCTTTGACTTTAGTTTGATATAATTTATAGCATAACATGTGTTTGATGATGTGTTTTTCATGAGTGTCTTTAGATTTGATTAGATCGTTTAATGATCTACATTCATGATTGAGTTACTTTTCATGTCATGCAATGGTGAAGGTGCGCCGAGTTCCATGGAATAGGTCATCATTGCAACCACAATTTCAGTGATGGAGAAAAACTACTTCCTTCAGTATACTGTTCTTACATTAGCAAACCTGTTGGGCGAAACCATTTGGCGTGTTTGTGATGATTGTTCAGTGAGCAACATTTTCCATTTGCCTTTTTTTTCTTTATGTTCAAATTATTGCTTTTAAAGTACCGTAAGAATGTTGGAGAAAGGTAACAGGTGAATTATTAAATCTCTCTCCTTTCGGAGAATGGTAATGGGCGAGACGACACACATCAACATTAATCAAATGAGTTATTTTGGTGAAAAGAGTCAAGTCTGTTTTTCTTATTCTATGAGTTAATTTGTTCAATTTTTTTTATCTGATTTAGCAAAAATCTGTTTGACAACCTTTAATTGATTGAACTAATTGATCTTAACTGCATGCAGGTCCAATGCTCTTATTGTAGTCCATTATAGATCGTAGACAAGCATGGAATCAAGAAGATTCACAATCTTCAAAACCTCATCGACAAATTGATTTATGATTTGTCGTGCAAAATGATTTTTTTATTTTATTTATGTGACCTTTTAATTCCAATATTTCCTTTTTCTTGATTATTTGAATGGGATTGATTTGCTTTTTAATTTATGTGTGAATACACATGTTGCATGTGAATAGGTTAAATCCTAGCAGTTTAATAATGGGGGTCTAAGGATTAGTGAGTCATGATTATTGTTTTTTTTTTTGTTTGAAATATGTATGGGAAAATTCTGGGTAATATTAATATTGGAGAAAGATCAATGACGAACCTAGAGGAAACATCAAAGAGGCAGCCTTTTTTCATCTCGCGAGATGAATTGTTCGACAAAGACTATTATGACAAACAATTGCGAAAAAAGAAGCACGCCTCACTCTTGAACGGTTGTGGACTATTTACCCACTTTACACGGTGCTTGATTCGATAATACGTGGCAATTGAGAGAAGGAATAAAAGATGCCTCAACGCAGCGAGAGGATTTTGTATATACTTGCTTAGTGGTTTCATTTTAAGGTTTACATAAATTTTGATCACTATAATTTATCGTTTTTGAGATTTTTACATTGGATAGAGGAATTACGAGTGTTTAGTGATACAGATTCATGTAAGCTATTGAAATTATTAGCTAACGCATACAAATATATTGATTTTTTTTTGTTACTTTGTATCTTTAGATACGAACAATTACTAGTAAATAAGTACAAGTGAGAAAATTTTTTAATATTAGTTATACTCTTAAAATTTAGGAGTTTTTAATTTTTAGTTTTATCTCACTTCTAAAGAGAAGGGATAGTCTGATAAAATTAACAAAAAATAGACTTCATAACAAATCAATTTCTTTAGCAAACTTAAGTTTAAATAAATCTATATAAGAGGAGGGACTTCCAAATTTCTCTAAATTCTATCCCCTAATCACATAGCTACGGGTCCAACACAGGCCCAATTCTCAATGAAGTTGTCAGCGAGAGGCCCAAACTTAGAGAATATCGTATAGTACTTGGGTTGGGCCAGGGTTCATTCTCTAACCCGGGAATTCAGCTGCCCTTCCCGCCTTCTCTCTGGCTTGCTCGCGACGGCGAGAAGAAGAAGAAGAAGAAGAAGAAGAAGAAGAAAGTGCCAAACATGGTGTCGCAACACGGCGTCAGCCTCGCCGTCCATCTCATCACCTCTTACTTTGGTGATCTCGTCGCTGTACACACTCTCTCTCTCTCTCTCTCTCTCTACATAACTTATATAGAGCCTTATGCACCGTTTGATTGCTGAGAAATTGAAATTCAAAATTTTCAATTATTTTGTTCAGTTTTCTGATCAATGAGACCGATTGTTATCAAATTTACTCTCGTATTTGACAAAATTTTCCGATTTTGCGATGTGTATAGAAAGTTTGCGAGTGTCTTCTACGAAAAGGAACCCTACCGTTTGCACAGATAATGCGATTCACAGAGCTTAGTAAAGGGAATCTCGAGAAAGCTCTACTTGTACTAATCCAACACAATTGTGTACAAGCCTTCGCAGTCCAACGAGAAGGTACTATATTTACTCTGTTCCTGTTTTCAAAACCCTAGAGGTTTCTGTTTGGTTTCCCAGAAAATGCTGGAAAATAAAAGAGTCTCAATGTTTGAATTTTAGATTGTAATAAACATTGCATATGATGTTTACCATCATTACGCTATCTCCTGTATTGGTTGATGTTAGGGCTTTGTTGACTATGAAAAATGAGCTCTTTTTTCGCTGTGTTTTGTTTCTTTATTTCTGCTGTGCTTTGATAATCAGACAGAGGATGAAGATGATTTTCGAGTAGTATTATTCATATTTCACGAATGTAGGTGCATTTGGAGAGGTGCCACGGGTTGTAACTCAGTACATGGTTATCTGTGATAACATACTTCATCATATGAGATTTCCTAAATTTCTGGCAATTGTGTCGGAGCAGCTTGGTAAAGAAGTGAGTTAAAATGGCTTTATAGTTTTGCTTTTTTGTTGGTATGTTTTGTTTGAAGTTATTGTGAATCTGCTTGTTGATTGATTGCATAATGGTTTTGGTTTTGGCAGTGTGAAGAGATTTTTGAAGGGTTGCTTCAACATGGAAGGCTTTCGATGAATCAACTTATTGACAGGCATAAGCAGACATCTATTCCAAGTGGAGGTTAGTCTCTTTTATTTGTTTTGTTCCAATGATTTTCATTGAGTATGTCATCTTCGATCACATTCAAAATTCAAATGCATCTGGTTTTAACTTTTGGGACACTAAATTTGAGGATTTTGAATGTGGAATTTATCCATATAAGTATTCATCTCTTCTTGATACAAATTGTAAATTGATTTTGGATAAAGATTGCATAAAATTTGTAGGAAGCCTTATTCAGTTACTTGTCTTTGTTGGAGAAACAAATGAAATGTTATTGTTGCTGGAATCTGGGCAAGCCCCTTCACTTGTAATTTTATTGGAATTTTGTGAATTCTGGTCTTGAGGAAGCAGTATTTGACAACCAAAGGGCCAAATCTTGCTCGGAAAGATATGTATCAAGTTTATGCTCAATGTATTAGTGGTTCGATCATCCAAAGTCAAAGAAAAAGGAAACTAGGATAAATAGGATGTTGACAATTGGGTGGTCAAGCTTATTACAGATGTTCCCTTGACTGGATTCGCTGTGGCATTTTTTCTTCTCTCACCCCTCCCACATTTTATAGAATTCCACAAAGAAGGGGAAATATTTTGTGCCTTCAAATGTAGAGTTAAATCATTGTTCTTTTCCAGGAAATTTTGTTGTGGATGCATTACAAGAAAGCTTTAAGAGACTTGTGAATGCCCGATTTGTGGAACGTTGTCCAGCTCCTGAACCATTCCTTGCCCCACCTTCTGAAGATGAAACTCCTGCAAAGAAACGAGGAGCCAAGTCGGCCAAGGTAGTTTCTTTTTCTTGTCAAGTGTATGAGTTGATAATAAATTTTTTGTCATATTTGTCAAATCGCGATTTGTATCGTAAATCGAAAATCGAAATTTGAGAATCGTAAATCGTAAGATTCGACACAAAATTTGAATAAAAAGAAAAAATAATACTACATATTTAAAATAGAAAAAATATTGAATATTGAACATTATTTCATTCTAAAAATAATTAATTGACATAAGCTCGTCGTCTAAATAGAAAGATACTAGTCTTTTGCTTAACTATTTTTACATTCAACAACTTGAAAAAAAAATTCATTAAATAACAATGACTATTCAAGAACCAAAATAGTGACATTCAATATATGTTAGGTTATAAACATGAATGGAAAAAGAACAAATAATAAAATTGATTGGGAGAAAACATATAGGCCAACATTTTTAAACAAAAAATTAGAACCTAACAAACTACTCATGAAAGAATTGAGAGCAAAAATCAACCGAAGAGCGTTAGCCGTGATCTTTAACTTTAGACAACGTAAGACGAGCTTTAGACGATGTGAGAGAGAGAACAAACAAAGAGGTTAAGTTTTTATTAGAGCGTGGGTTTTTCTGCAAACAAAACGAAGTTGTTTTAATGTTTTAACGGACAAAACGATGTCGTTTTGTAAAAAATTTGGCATCTAGAAAAAGGTAATTGAATTGTGCGATTCATGCAATATGAATCAAATCGTACGAATTGTATGATTCTGGTGCGATTCAATTCTAAAACGATTCTCATAGAAGATACGAAACATTTTGTATCTGTATCGAACCGAATTGTATGAATTGAATTGCGAATCGTACGATTTTGATAACTACGTTTTTCGCTTACTAATAAATATTAATAGTCATTATGGATATAATGTTCCCTTATGTTAGTTTTTTCCCTTATTTGTTGCTCTTAGGCAGTGGACTCGTTACTCTAATAAATTGGCAACTGCGGAATCCAGTGAGTGCCAACAGCTGTAACGGTGCTACTTCATAGGTGAATGATTGAGATTGCAGTGGCCTGTAATATTGTCTTGGAAATTCAGTTTAAAATGTCAATTGTGACAAGGACTAACACAATTGAATATAAGCCATTCTTGTACGGATGATGTCTATGAGGGATGGGGATGCTAGAATGGCCTGAGGTTTAAAGCAGTGCAGCATCCATTCCTCCGGATTGTATGCCAAAGACACACACCATTTTCTTAAAATAAAAGATGGAAGAAAAAGGAAAGTTCGATTGGTTTATTCTTCTTTTTCTTCTCATTTTTGTTCTTGTTTTAACATTATTATTTGCTAAGCAAATGCAAGTCTACTTTTTAATCATTATTCTTGCTCATATCTTATTGGAATCGTTCCATTTGAGTTCTTTGCTTACAAATTTGTGTCAATTTGATTCTGAATTTCTTCTTCTTATCCAATAGGACAAAAGAAAATCTGACTTTATGAGTTACACATTAATGCAGATCGCTGATGAATCACAGACTATAGAGCAACGTGCTTTAGCAGTAGCCTCTCCTATGGAATCAATAAGATTTTTTGTTGAAACAAATATTGGTACCGATGTTTCTGAACAAAAGAGTGAGGAAAAATCTATTCAAGTTGGGGAGAAGGTTAGTGTGATAATTTTTAGTAGAAGTTAGCTGGTTCAATCATTTGTTGATTGGCAACACCGTTATTTTACAGCGAAAGAATGATAGTATGGAGTCGAATATGGAAGCTTTGGCTTCAAATGGAAAGAAAGAAGTTCTTTGGCGCGTCAATTTTGAAGAGTTTATAAAGCACCTGAGGGATAAGGTTTGTTTCTTTACATATTTGTCAAAAGGATTCTTGTGTACCATCTAGTATTGTGATAAATGCTTGGACTAACAACTCTTGTGGCTTGAATCTAAGGACTATCATTTGTACAAAGAATTGTTGTATGTCATTGGTTTTATTCAACCCCTTTTCCATCTCTGCATGCCAGGTAATAATAATTAGATTTGTTTCTTATCAGTGATATGTCCGAAATAAGGAAACAGTCACATACATCCTGATGGCACAACCATAGATTGGTTGAACAGATATAATCAACTTTGGAAGCCTAAAAGAAAGAGCATAAATTTTTTGTCCAAAAGAAAGTGTGATTGGTAGCTTATTAGGATTAATTTTATTATTATTTAATTTAGGTGTACTAATTTGACTAGGACTATTAGTGACAGTTGGATTTGGGAATTATTATAGAGTATAAACATAATTGTTAGTATCGTACGATACGTCACGATACAGAGGTAAAACGATATGAATCGGAGTTTTGTATAGTTTTTGCATAATATCGTCCGATATACGATATGGTACGTATCGACCAATACGAACGATATGCAAAGTCTCTATTTTTTTTTTTTT